TTGTCTTATCAAAATATTTAAATATTTATAATTTTTAACTTTTTGTCAAGTCATTTTTATTAGGTAGGTATTTAATAACTTTATCTGTGAACTTATGATGAACTTTATATAAAAATTTTTTTTATTGACATTTATAGAAAAAAAAAAGTGAGCTATCACGGGATACCTGACAGTTGTGAATCATCAAAAAAATTATTTTGTCCACAAACAATGAGAGGATAGTTTATTAAAGGAAATAAACATGGCATAATTAAAAATATAATATTTGGGGATAGATTATTTATATTTTTTAATATTTAATCAGGGATAGATTTATTGTAAGGCAACTTTTTTGAAATGTGTAAGGATAAAAACTATTTGCTGTAACACTAATGATGTGATAATGAATAATGACGATTGATGAAGCAGATTAAGCTGTTAAATAAAAAACCGTGATGGAATGTTTAGGTATAACATCAATGCTAATTATAACTAAATGACTGAATTTGAATGAGGATGAAAAACAGAATTATATTATTTTTACATAATATATTAGTAATATTTAGTATAAAATAGTTGAATCATAAAATGTAATAAATTATAAGATATACTTTAAACAAAATGTCTTATTGGAGTAGTTGACTTGCACCTGTCTTAAAACCAATTTTTAGTTTATCTACTTAAAAATACCATTGTTATACATATATGCTCACTAGGAATAGTGTTTCAATTTACAAATGGTGATTACAAACTATTATAAATAAAAGTTAAGTACCAGATTAAGAAGAGAGACTTAAGTATGTCATGCATGTTTAGTATATACATGTTGTCTCCATCTTTATAAGACTTAAACACATTTTGACTTTATCAGTTTAATATCTGAGTGGGTAGTGCATTTCATCTATTACAATTAATCTGAACATTTTCTGTGCATTTTGAAGTTATGAACATTTTTTAAATTGTAATATTTTGAACACTAACGATCTTCAAAATAAGTATCAAAAAAAACTTCCAACAAACCAAAGAAAATGTTACTACCTTTATACTTAATTATTGGTAAATTCACTCTAAAATTAAAACTAACAAAGCCTCAAAAACATAAGAGCTGCTGAAATTAAATTTTCTTGTTGCTTTGACAAAGACAACACACGCAAATAAAATGTCCTTTTAAATAGAAGTCTTTCCGGTCTTTTGGTATTCAAAAGGAATATTTTAAGCTTGGCAAATTAAAATATCAACTAAAATTTATTTAAGAAATATTATTTTTGTTTTAATCATCACAATAATACAATAATAGTACTTTTAGTGTTATGATCATAGTAGTACAATCTAAAAGAATATATATATATATATATATATATAGAAGTTTTATAACAATAGTATATTTTACATTTTCATTAAGTTAACAAAAATAAAATAAAAATTGATAAGAAACATTAAAAAAAAATATTGTTCTTATGAAAATTGGAATTAATAATTTTAATTTATAATTTGAGGTAGTCAATCTGCTACTTGTGTAAACTATAGCTTATTAATCATAAAAAAATATTGTTCCAAATTCTTGAGCACATAGACTTTGAATTTCAGCTGAAAATAAAAATAAGTTTTTTTAAATGTTGGTACCATCTAAGTTAACATATAAATGTATATACTCACAATCGACGTCGTATAACTTAGTCAACTTTTGATTTAGCACTATATAAATTTCTCGTGAATTGCATAATCTACCAGCTACCCAATTATCGTTAGATGTTTTTATCATAACAGAATAAGTTGGGTGCATGCTGAAATAAAACAAATAGTGCAATTAGTACATAATAATAAACGAGCATATTATGATACATATGAGATTTTCTTAATCACACACCAAGATTGTTGGCTGCTTATATCCACTAACACTCGTAATGCATCCGGACTAAGATTAAATTCAGATGGTCTACTAGTTGTAGCTGCCGTGTTTGAATACTTAATTGAATTTTTAATAGCTAAATTCATAGCATTAAAATATACAAATTTAGCTGGTCTTTCAGTATACAATTTAGAGGCCAATGTCTTTTCAACTGCATTTTTCATTTTTTCAGATAACAAATGTAATTTTGTCCCAAGAAACTGATCTAAGTTGTTGTACAAGTCTGCCGTTAATGGATTTTCCACTGAAAATAATTATCACTATCACAGAATGATTTTTTATTAGCATATAATCATATTCTATGATACTTACTTTTAATAAACATACATACAATTGAATGATGAGCTTTATACATAACTAACCTATAGCTTTTGAATGTTTTGTCATCTTCATCATTTAACCTTAAAATAGGAACCTTACCCAAATCACTAATCCAACTATCTGTTTTTACTGCCCAAACATTTGTTATAAACCTATTCAAAAACAAGTCACACTAAAGGAGTTAACTTTTTATATAACAATAGTCAATACATAAATGAGTTCAATTATTTATACCTTCCAACTAATTGATTGGGCAAACATTGTTGTACTAAATTTCCTTTGGCTAAATTTTCTTTTTTTGTTATTTCCGGTAAGACCCACATTAAAATATAGGAATAAACAAGTTGAGTTTGACGTTTATTCAGACCACTCCTAAAAAAATGTCAAACAATAAAAAAAATCCGATTTATAGTGACATTTGAAAATGTTAAACTAAAACCATTGTTCCACGGTCTATATAAATCATTACTAGTTCAACTTAATATAAATGAAAATGTATTAGCTATTAAGTACTTTTAATCATACCTGAAAAACATAAATATGATACTACAACTGGAGGATGTACAAGTAATAAAACTATACATTTGGACACAAATTTTGTTGTCGCTTTATTGCCAGGCTTCAGTAATATGTGTTTTAAGAAATTTCTAAACATATTCAAGTCTGCGACATGAAAAGTGGCGGTGACTGTCACGAACCCAGTGGTCATTTCATAAATATTGGGGAGTAGTTACATGTGGAGCGTGGTTACAGCAGCTGGTTTAGTATAAGAACCTATAGCTAACAAGCCGTCTATAGAGGGTGGGTGAAGGGGGTCGCCGGACAGTTTTGATGTAGCAGACTATACTATTAAAATTCTTGTAATGATTCATAAAATGTAAAATTTACAATGGCATATAATCTAATTTTTAAATGATTATGAAACGTAATAAATATAATACATTACCAAACAAGTGAATCATTATAAAGTAGCATTGTAAAATGTACTTGTTGAAATGTATTTTCAATAATGTTTAGAAAACTCTGGGCGTACAAATGAATGACATTGTCTAAAGGAAGAAAACTGATGCCTTGAAACATATCCATAAATGTGTGACTTGATACATCAGTACTCTGTAAATACTAAGAACAAAACACATACATAGTCGTTAAAAACAAAATTAAATTATATACTTAACACTAAACAGATTTGAATTGAATTAGTATTTATCAATAAATAAACGAGATGCAATTATGTGTTATAAAAGCTAACCTTGCTATAAAATTTGTTAAGCATAAGTCTGAGATAATCTGGATCATTATCGTTCATTAGCTTAGTCATGTTACCAACAGTCATTTGAAATGTGTGATACCAGTGTTTCAAGACAGCCAAATAGATAGGTTCTTGAAGATTATATGTGCAATATACAGGTTCATCTGGGGACTCTGAAGACTTTTGTTTAGATTTACATTCTGCTGACACAGTCTACTAAGCATAATGTACCAATTAGTAAGATAATTTTAAAGAAATCTAGAGATTGAAAAAATTTATTTAAAAAACTAGAAATAATATTACAATAACTATCCAAAAATCCGGCTCTGCATTGTACAACACTTGCAATGATTTTTCAGTACGCAATGATTCACATGACTCATTTACATTAAAATTCCTGTAATATTAGTACACCAATTAATACATTTGCTTACATAATAAATGATAATAAGTATGATAGTCAAATTTACTGGCATACCGCGCAAAACAGATTACAGCTTCAATGTGACCGACATTGAGAATTTTTTTGTTTTCGTCCTCGAGTTCTGGATGATAAAATAATATTTTATTAGCTCCCTGTAATACAAAAAAAAAAATAACATACTGTGAAGAATATTACAAGTACTAAGTATCAAGAGGACGTTGCTATGAGTGTAAAATATAAATGTAAAATATTGGGTAAAATATTAATATTTAAAGACATTAATAGTTCACTTAAAAATTAAAATAACTTAAAAACCCCAAGAGAGAACACAGATAATGTTCTTACCTAAAACTTCATTAATAGGTCAATTCACTCTAATATCAAAACTCGTACCATATTAATCATTATTGAAATTAGTACACTAAAATGTGATATGTTGTAATGTGTGTAAGATGGGTACAGCACATGAGGGTACATTGTCCTCTTAAGCAAAGTTCCATTTTTGATGTCTAAGGTCTAACAAGGCCAATGAATTATGAACAAATATTATTTAATTTTTTAGAGACTATTTTCACGATTAAAAAAAATGTATAAAAACCGTTACGACAAATGGTACTAAAAACATGTACACGAATAAACTTACATCATCCTCGGTTTTTGATAGTGTCGAGTTAAAAATGTACAAATTCTGTACAGTGACTTTAGTAGGCATTTTTATTTCTGTGGTCCGTGCTTACATGTTACTGAATTGAATATGAATTTGAATTTTAACACAAAGCGATGGCAAGTGTGAAATATTATTGTTGCGAGCGCCGTAAATTGTTTTATGGATCAACAATCAAATAAATAAAGAGAAATTAAACAAAAGTTCACAGTCTACAGCTAATATCTACGAGTGTGACTCTGAACTCCGTAGTCTACTAGTCTATGAGCTACCAGCTATCAAAACAACAAACAGACGATGTGATAACGGTTATCAGATGCGACCGTCTGAGAGAAAAACTACCTCCATAGAATCAAGGCGGATCAAAGTACAACACAACTCAAACAAAGTACAATCAAAATATGATTATATTATTATGATCATTATCAGTCGATGATGTTATGTATTATTATTGTTTATTTATTAATTACTATTATTAATTGTAGTAACTATAAAAGTGTACTGTGTAGTATATTATATACCTATAGGTTATAGGCAAATTTTAAATTACCATATATCGTTCTATATTGGGTAAGTGCTAAATGCCTTTCACGATGTACCGAAAATAAACCGAATCTAGGAGCTTATGATGTAGAATTATTTTATGGGATCTTAAGTTTGAATTTCGGTACCAGTTCTATTACGTATCCCACAAGTACTTACGAAAAATAAAAACTTCGGTAAGTAATCTGAATAATTTTTTGCAAATTGCAATGCCATGTAACTATGTAAGTCACTACTAGTGTTATATAGAATAATGGGTCATAACTCCGACTTTCCAATCAAGGGTGGGCAGCAAACTGTATACATACAATTTTTTTTTTTTTTAATTTTTTTTAAGTTGTATCAAAGGGTGACAGATAGTGCATTACATTATTATATTAGATATTCAATTTTAGAATTGAAATGTTTAAAAATATTTTTTCTATTATTGAATCATTATGAATGTAGGTAAATATTATTAAGAATTTCAGCATTTTTATTATATATTTAAAAATAAATTAAGATTGGGTCAATGGATAAATATTATTTGTTTCAAATGCATGTATTATGTTTGTTTTTTTTTGCTACAGACTAGCTGCTATATGTACCTATCATATGTCAGTGTCAACAGAAAAATATTTAAATTTCTATTTCGTCATTCCGGTATATCACAATTTCAATATGATGTTCAAATCTATAATTTATGATTACATCTATCTATATGGGTTAGATATTCAAATAGACACATGGCTGTCTATGCATATAATGTTAGGTATCTGTATAGCCATATGGTTATATAATTAACAATATTATTTCTAAATGAATCCTCTTCAACTTAAAACTCTAAAGTACATAATATATATTTGGATTGTCTTATATTTATATATTACACTTGTAAGAAGTAATACCTACCTATATAGGCTATATATACCTACTATATATTACCTACTAGTACCTATATTTAATTTAACATTAACAGAATGTTATAACTGGCATATTGTTCAATTTGAAACTATTAAAATTATTATTGATTTGGAAAAAATATGATTAATAAATTATTAAATTATTTCAGGCATGGATTCGGTAACATCAGCACTTGCAAATGTTGCTGCTAATAAAGGCGGTATTTATGGAAGTCTAGTTTATTTACGTTCCGAAATGGCAAAAAAAAATGGAGCGTTAAAAGAATTTCGAGAATATGGTGGTGTTAAAATATTGAGCAGATTATTACAACAAGTTAACCCTAAGATAACATCATTAGTTTTAAGCATTCTTGGAGACTACAGCATGAATAAAGAGTGTTGTGAAGAAGTAATTATAACTACTTAATCAAACAAATAAAAATCACTTTTAGGTATAAATATTTATGTGTTAACACCTAACATCGTTTTTGCAGTTACTTGACTATGGTGTTCTCAAAGATCTTAGTTTCATAATGAAAAATATAAATGTTGATTCGATTCACTATCGCATATTTAGGTTGATCGCTAATCTAGCTAAATCTGAAGCCCATATTCCGGCTATGTACAAACATAATATTCATAGCATAACTATACAAACATTATCAAATACTGATAGTGATCTTACAAGATATACGGCAATTCGAGCTCTTAGGTAATGCTTGGTTAATTTTGTCATACTTTAGTTAGCAAATTTGTAATTGTCAATATTATTTTTAATGATTTAGAAAAATATGGGAAAATTCATCAAAAATTGGTTGTTCAGAAATGTTAAAGTTGCGAGCTGTTAAAATAATCTCAGATTCCTTAAAATCAGAATGTAAGGAAATAGTTATGGCTGTTCTACGAGCCCAGACTGCCATTTTGTACCGTGTTTTAGAGTTGAAACATGCAAAAAATAGTCTAGACGCTGTTGTACAGGTAACATTGGAGTATAATTTATAAAAAGAATTATCAAGAACACTAAAAAAAATATCTTTTTGTTATAGATTTTAGGAAATAGTGAGCAAAAAAGTATTGATAACATATGTATTTTAATGGGATTATTACCTGAACGGCCATTAGTTTCCAAGATAATATATGCAATGTGTAGAATTCGTGATGCTTTAGGATATTTACATCAATCTCGTTTGATTGTGCATATCACTGAAATTTTAAAAAATGAAGATAACCATTGTAAGTTGCATATAATTTTATAATAACATACAATAAGTAGGTATACCAAATTAAAATTGATTGTTTTTAATAACATTACCTGTTGCATTGCTTCAGTTTTTGTATGACATAAACAGTTATCATTGATATAAAATGATTGTTTAGTACTAATATTTAATTGTTAATGTATTTTTACAATAACATAAAAACCCTTGATAGGCAAATACTTTGAATTTTTAAACAATTACATGTCTCCTTGATATACCTAAACTGTTTATAATAATTAATTTTTTTTATTCTAAATTATAGATTTGACATTATCAATGTGCCTTTTATTGCAATGTCCACTCAACCGCATTAGATTCGTTGGTATACAAGACTGGCAAAGTCTATTTTTGGGCTTAATCACCAGTACAAACCATACTTATATTGATATAGCAATTAATACTTTACCACATTTCCAATATTGCAAAGTTACAATTAAAGTATGTATCACTTAAATGATTTATTTGTTATTATAATATTTTTAGTTTTAATTTTTTGTCAAGTCATTTTTGGTATCTAGTATGTTATTTGTGTGTACCATACGTTGTGAACGTTTTAACATGTATTTAGATCCATCTTTTTCTCTATTTGAACTAGATATTGATTCCAATTGTTGTGCTATACTTAAAAATCTTGGAGATCTCTTGCTCAATATCTGTTGAGTATCTGACCTATTAGCTTTTATCTTTTTTAAGTGTTTTTGATTTATTGTTTTATCTTGGTTTAGGGCTTCAACAAGAGCAAATGACTCTTGATCAGTCATGTTGACTAATCTCCGATTCATTTTTATCCAATCGCTATTCAATATTTTATCAATTGTCCAACGCTTTCTTGGTTCAGGTTGTAAAATATTGTCTATACACATTTTTAAATTCTCACTTATTATACTCTCAACTGAGGGTTGATGTTCCCAATCTCGTTTGACCTTTAAATATTTTAATTAAAAATAAAAAAAAATTGAATAATATTTAAAATATGCATGCCATGAGTGATAATATACTTGTTGCTTATACATTAACTTCATGTTTTTTCTATTGAAAGGCATTTTCTTATTAAGCATGACATATAATACCACTCCGAGTGACCATATGTCAGATGTTTTTCCATCATATGGACGTGTAGTCAATATTTCTGGTGGTGCATAACCCAATGAACAACAATAAGTACTACAATTCAGTCTTTTGGAACTAACAAATTTTGAAAAACCAAAATCTGTTAACTTGACAGTATAATGCTCAGTGATGAGAATATTTTCACATTTTATATCTCGATGTACTATTTCCAGTGTATGTAAATATTGCACCGCTAATGCTACCTGTCTAAACCATACACGAGCCAGTTTTTCTTTTAATGCCCCATGATCAATAATGTACTGCAAAAGATCACCTTAGAAATATAGAAATACATTTTATTATTCATGATTGTAATAAACTATATTTTATAAAAAAAAAGTCAAATTCAAGAGTATAAAAATAGGAACTGGATGCGCTAATGAAATGAGGGTGTTGATCTACCAATTAGTTTAGTGTTTGTTAGTATATTTGACAGTTTGTCAAAAGCAACTATTCATGACAAAAGATAATTTGCAAAATTTATTGTGATCAAATAATACTTATTTTTGGAATGTTTTGAAATTTCACTATTAATGTTTATATTCAATAGAGAATAATATAAAACTGTTCTCATATTTTTCAAATAATATACATTAATTATTAGTGGTCTTCAAACCAAATGACTCTTGACCCAATTTGTTTACCATACATTTTATGCGACTCATGTCAGCTTTTTTAACCAAAAAAAAGTTGAAATTACTTAATGTCCTAGTATGCCATTGTAGATATGTTTTTACAACTGAATAAATAAAAATACATAATATACATAATATTATATAATATATATAAAAAAGGATTTTTTAAATTTTAAACAGTAGACCACGACAATTATGTCGTTGTAGTTGTGTTAAATATATTTTGACCTAACTGTAGTTTTGTATGGTATTGTAATGATATAAAAACACATTTATATTTTATGTAAGCTTTTGATGTTCGAATTTTGATAAAATTTGTCAAAATAGCAGAACATTGCAAATTATTTTGTTGTTAAAAATATTATATAGCATTCAATTTTTGTAACTAGAGCTTGAAAACTGAATGCAAGGTTCCTTGTAAGTAGTTCATTTTGTAACCAAAAAATATATAAGCTTAATTTTTTTCATAGCCAATTGAAGATTAATTTTGGACAAAATTTGATATTTAAACAAAGAATAACAATTTTAATTATTTTGTTTTAATTAAAATATATTTGTGTTGGAATTCAAAACTTTTACGTATATTATTATATTTTAAACACAAAATTACATTTTTTAAATATTTTCTTATGGAAACATTTATATGAAAATGTTTGACTTCTATAATTTTAATAAATATTTTAGTGCAATAAATTAAAAAATAATTTGAAATTAAGTATAAAAAATATTTTTAACATTGATGAAAAGCACTTTGACAAAAAGTGTTATTGACTAATTGTTTTTGACAAAGTATCCTTAATCTGTTTGTTTTATTGTTACCTACCTATAATATTTAGTTAATTAATCAAAGTAATTGTTTTTGTACCTCTTTCTGCAAATGCCATAAAAACAAATAATACTGCTTTCTTTTGTAAAATACTGTGTGTATATATTATATATGGATGATTAATTTGGCGTATAACATCTAGCTCTCTAGGCAAAAACTTAGAAACATACTCTTTGCTTGTTTGTCTTGTATCGATTATTTTCACTACCAAATTCAATTCCTTATCTTCTTGTATATATTTAGCATGGCGTACTTCACCATAACTTCCATTTGATATGTGATCTAATATAATGTATCCTTCTGATTTTAGAATGTTTGTTTTTGATAACTCTTTATTTGATTTCATACTTTTATTAAAAAATAAAAACATTATTGGTAAAAACTGTTGTAAAAAATGTATTTATTTAAATAATTCATTTTTTGTGAGAAAAAATAATTTTTTTCCCATAGTAATAGAATATAATAATGATAGTAATATTTATTGGCCAACGAGGTAATTACAGTAATAGTATAGTATGCTATAATATACAATATGTGTTTGATTACAGAAAATGGTAGAAAAAGGTTTGATTCCAATGTTAATCAAGCTTTTATCTTTATATGTAAAAAAAAATAAAATGCCTCATATGTGTCCATTGGAAATTAAAGCTAAATCATTAGATTATTCGACATTTGTTAGCTGTGCCTCTCCAACAACTTCATATGATCATGATGCAAGTCCTATTTGGACACCACCTAAAGATGATAACATAGCCACAGACTCGCATTCTCCATATTATTCACCAGTTTGTGAATCATTTGATATTGAGTCTGTAAACGCAGATGATTCAAAATCTGATGTCAGTGACTTTGAAGAAAAGGTGAAATAAAATTCACAATACTTCCACTAAACCACTATTATCAGTTTAACTTATTTTAATATCTAATATAAATGTATAATTCATATTTTAGGATGATGAAATTGTAGAACATTCATCTCTAGAAGATACAACAGCGTGTAAAATAATACAGTTCCTAACACATGTAATGTACATAGAAAAAGTTGTGTTATTAATGGCTGATAAAAATGTATGGGAGACAATTTTAGATTATATGCAATATATTGAAAATGGACATAACAATTCAAACGCATTAAAGATATTAGAATTTATTACTCGGTACGTTTTTCTTTTTTATTCAGTTTCACAATGTTATTTTATTGTTTTTATTTTATAGTGAAGTTCTGAACTTGAATAGTATTCTCACTGAAGAGTTAATTTTAACAACACATCGAAGTCTATGTAGACCTATTCACGAACTCGAGCTATGCAAGTATTGTATGATCCGAAACAAATTGGGTATGAAAATCATCAAAAATACTCAATCATTTTCATCAAAATTTGGAGAAGGTATTATGACTGGTATATTGGATGAACCAGATACACCAGATGCTAAACTAAAACTTAAAATATTAGTGTCTGTTCATGTCCCCCTTGTTATTCAAAGGTAAGCTGTATGTTATAGTTTCGTCACCAACAATTTTTATCTCATAAATAATAAATTACAATGACTGTTGATAACGCCATAGATAAAAATTTTAAAAATTTAGAACTTTAATTCATATTCATATTATAAGCCTTTTAAAGAAAATTCTAAAATGAGTAGTTTGAAGATACTTGGATCAGTGCTGAATCCAGACAATTTCTTTGAGGGGGGGCTCACTTTTTTTTCATTGGTGAATGATGATACATTTTAGTATTATGAATTATACCTATTAATAGGTAGTTATTCTTATTACAATTTACAATTTAGATACAACTACAAAACAAATTATAAACAAATTATTTATTTTTTAATTTTGTAATCAATTTAAGGTCACATATTCTAAATGGTATTATTGTTTAAGTTGTATTTGTCAGGGGGTGCGAAAGAAATTTCAGGGGAGGGAAGTATACCTGGATTCAACACTGACTTGGATGCAACCAGGTTTTGATGATTTTCGGTCAGGTAACACTCATATTATTTTGCCCTCTTAGCCTATCATAAGTGTCTTTTACATCATAGTTTCTAAATATTGAGCATAAATTATATTTTAGAGGTAATTTTTAAATTTCTTTACCATTTTCATTAAACCAGAAAAAGTTGATGGCAGGTATATTTAAGAAAGCATCAATTTTATTTTATATTCACTATTTATTAAAAATCATTTAATGATGATAGTTTAATAAATAATCATTGAAGAACATATCAAAATATTAAATTATCTGTTAATGTATTTATGTATTATAATAATTACTTATAAATATTGTTATAAATAATTTTTGATTTATATAGTACAATGTGAGGAAAAAACATTTTTGTGTGATAGGTACTTTTCAATTAATTAAGCATCCTGATAAAGAGTAGTCATTATCAATAGCAGATTTAAGTCTGAAATGATAGTCAACAAACACATTAGAAGTGCTTCATGTAGAGCTTATCCTCCATGAGCCCTGACATACTTGTCTACAGAGCTGCATTAGACAAATTTGACCCACAGACTTTTCTGTACTTTATACAACTGGTAGCTGTTGACACAAATTTTTTTAAGTCCAACATTCAGTCTCCATTTCTACAATTATTAACTCTTAACTATTTTCAGTCAGCTTCCTCTCATGACTTGAACGGCCAACCAAATTTTACTCGGTAACTCGCTGAGTCAATTCGTCCAACAAAACCTTTTTGGTGTAATTTAGTTGTTCCCCAGAACAAAATATAAAGATATGGGAGTTTCATCTGTATTTCTCTACTTAACAACTGTTAACTTTGCCAATGTTCATTATTAGGGTTAGACACTGATTGTACTAAAAATTCTTAAAATACTCAGTAAAAATTGATTTTAATTTAAAAAATCATAAAACATATAAAAATAATAATTTATAATTTATGAATAATAATAATTATTTAACCTAGTCTAATTCAGATATGTATTGATTATACAATAAGTATTTGATATTTTAGCCTTTAGCCTTTAGGTATTTAAAAAAAATACAACTATCTAGTAAAAAATGAAAAGTCCTGTAGGTAGTCAAACAGGTTAGGCTGAGCTTCGTTCTCGGATACAAAATAATGATCATCAGTTAATGACTTCATCTCTCTATAATATTTTCCATTTACCTTTTACCGTGTACACATGTTTAATCCATATAAAATATGCTCACATTTTAGATGTATAGGTACTAATTAGTAATTACTTATGTTTTCTTTCATCAATTTATGCTGTTCTTTAGTTTGCTGCACTTACTTAATTAGCAATATAACTATACCATCGGTTAGCTGCAAAAAAGACTTGAGGTGTTCTCTTATAAGTTACAAAGCCTAATAAGACCCTAGGGTTCATATAATGTGTATTGTCAAACTCTAAGCTCATCTCTCCAGCAAAGGCTCTTTATTGCTCATTAGTTTGGACCCTTCTTGAGACAGTCCTGTGGGACCCCTCACAGCTTCAAACTGTTATGATAGAGCGAATACAAAGGCGTTGTCTATCCTACACTAGTTATGTTCTTAAAATTCCCCACCCCTTACACGACTTTTATCCAATTATCTATGAGCTAGGACTGATAACCTTGGCCAATAAAAGAATAAAAGTTCCTTCAAAATCTTATTAGCAGTTCTGCTAATGTCATATTGCTTCTTTCCCTCATAAATGTATGTGTCCATCTGTGTCCATCCCTCTCTATTGCTCCATTTTGTATTCCTAAATACTCTACTAATTTTTGTCAGAATAATCCAATTGACTGATAAATGTGTCTGGCCAACGCCCACCCTTTATTACTTTTGTAATCTGGTTAACTAGTATCTTCTCACTTCTACTGAACTCATAATACTTGTGAATACCTAGTACTGTATTTACTATTTTGGGCCTTGTCCTTATTTAATTAATGAATAATAATGATAAATAAAATTGTATTTTTCAGCAATCCCAAACTATTGATTCTACTGTTATCTCGTTACAAAGTATATTACATGTTATGTAATATAATTAAAGATGACCAAAATCCATCGTTTGATGATGCTATTGGAGCTTTAATAGCTTTATTTGATAAAGTAAAAATTACTTTTAAAAAATCAGAAATACAATATTGTCAAACCCGAGATTGCAATAAAAGTATTATACAAAAAGAAACTACTGTAACAATAGAGTTGGACGATGGTGTATTAATAAATGCAAATAAATCCTTATTATCATTGAAATCTCCAATGTTTGAGGCCATGTTTCGATGTGGAGGTTTTAAGGAAGCATACCAAAATACTGTACGTTTAAATGATGTAAGTTCTGACTGTATCAAATCATTTTTGCTTCTACTTGAAGTATATTGTGATTGTCTTTTGCCCAAAAATGTAAATGTTCTCTTAGAATTAATAACAATCACAGATCAATACATGTCAAATGAATTATCTGAAAAAATTATTATGTTTATGATAAACTCTATTTCGGTTGATAATTGTGATATAATTTATGGATGGGCAAAAGATTTTGGTCATCAGTTAAGACTCGGGGCCAATGTGGATTTAGATGTTGTTAAATATTTGTTTACTTCAAATTCAAGATTCCCTGACCGTGTAAAAACTATCAAAAAAATTAGTAGAAGTAGTTACGGAAAACTTTTTATTGAAGATTTAACAACCTTAATAAAACGTGGATTGTCAAGTATAATAACTTTTGATGATAAAACATCATTATTTTATCTGAACAAATTACATAGTGGATTAGATTAATCTAGTAACATGACTAAATAGTTTACAGTGCTCACTAATTAAAAATTGTGTGATTGTGAAATCTCCATTTCTCAACCGGATTAAATTAATCAAATTAGCGGAACACTATATACTAAGTATATATTATATTGTATGATATTTATATTTTGTGATTTTTTTTCTTATTGATTTTATCATTGTAAAATATAATAAAGACTAATTATAGTCAAAACATAATTACTTAATACTGATTATTTATTGTTAATGTCCTTAATGAATAGATTTTATTCAAACAACATCTATTCATACTGTTAATGTCTAATGCTAGAATATGATAACTCCCTTGACTACAACATAAACAATGAGAAAACAAATTATTATTTTCTGTCAAATGTTTATTTGATGACGTTTGATTATTGTTAACATGTAATAACTGACTGTTATCTGAAATCAGGTGAATCCAAGTTAACTTAAGAATATTGTAATTAACACAAGAAAATTTACCATTTGATTCCAAGTCCATTCGGTCTGTTTTTAGATTGTTATGTTTATTTTTCATTGAGTTCCTGTACATTTTTATTGCTTCTTCATAATTTGGAGGGGCCTCGTAATCTGGTGGTGGTTCATATGCAGGTGGTTCGTCAATTAAATAATTTGAATTCACCCTTCCTATTTCTGAAGTCAGACTGTTGTCATCTAGTTGAATTCCTTCCACTTAAAAACACAACTATGGTTTAACCACATGTTAAAATTGTAATAATATTTTATTTGTACTCACAAAGTAGTTGACTGATGGATATAAGCCGATTTTGAAAATCTGTTTGAATGTGGTAACATGTGGCAATTCTATAGACTACCATTAGAACTATTATGAAGAATATTATGAATCCTGCAATGACAAAAATATGAAGGGTAGGACGTAGGTACATGTTATGGGTATGTTGCACATTAGTTATGCTCAATAAGTAACAATCTTTATTATCAATCATATCGACATATCATACTAGTATTCCATCATTTAAGTAACTATTTAAATCACTGTAATAAATTTTCAGTTTTTCTAATGAGAATCTGGTTAGGAAACCAACAATATTGATATTTAAATTTACCTACAGAAGTATAGCCACATAGGACTTTTAGGATAAATAAATAGGTTGGTAGGTATTGTATCAACAGATTATAATACCAAGATTTTTCATCCTCAATCTAAATAGGTTAGGTTAACATAACTGTGAACATCAAACACCATATAGAGAAGATATTGTGAGATATATCATATATCATTGTAATATGAAGTCTGTAGAGTAGATCGCTTATATATCAGGCCTTGAACTTAACATATTATTATAACCTATTATATTTTCTTAAAGTAGGTAGCCTAGAACCAATCGATAGGTAATTTTTTTTTACTGTAGGCCTTTAGGTGATTATTTTTTAGTAGGTTTTTTAGCCGTAGCTTAGAGTGCTGTTGATTTGGAACACGGGTATGTATTAAGAACTCGGGTGGTCACCCAACCGGGAACTAGTTGCACTGACCGGTGCGGGATATTCAGATAACGTTCTGTGAATGAGGCCTGACCCAGCCACAGATATTGGTGATTATTTATCTCAAATGCTTGGTTTCATGATACAGTTTGTCTCGAACTGTACTGTGTTTGAATATAGCGTCCCTTTGTCCTAGAATCCAGAGCTTAAATTAAAATAATAATAATACAGTTTACCGTCACCTATAGGAATATTAAAGTCTATAATCGATTGACTGTTGAACATCGCAAAGAATTTATTCAACTTGTGCGGTTAAACGTTTTACAATTTAAAATGTTAGGTCTTCAATGTACTTATGCCTATGCGTTTAGCGCTATTAACAATTAAGCTTTTTACGTTTAAAGTTATATTTTATATTAAGTACCTACCTAGTATTTGAAGTCACAGTCTTACAAAAATAACCAAAATAATACCTATATTTTTTTTGGCAATGTTATGTTTCAATTATTGATCGTTTTCTGTTACCTACTTTATCCGATGTTAATAATTATAATCGTTTATCGTTTCTGTTTGGTTATCCGTTTCAATCGTTTATCGTTTATCGTTTACCGACATATGTTATGCGTTATCGATATAAATTGTTTTTTGAATCGTTTAACATTATACTCGTAACGTTATAAAACCGTTTTGAAGCCTTGTCGGAATCAAACTTCAATAATTGATGTTAATATTTTTTCATTTTGTTTTTTAATGAACATTTCTAGTTCTTAAAAAACCCTTATTGTTTTGACAAATATTAAAATAATCAAGTGGACTGATTGACGAAATCAATTTTAAAATGTTTTCCTATCTGGGTGACGACAATTATAACTGAATAGTGAATAAAATATCATGTTTATTGTTTTCCTGCTCTCCCTCAACAAATTTTGTTATCAATCATCGGTACCTAATTAATCATTTTTTCGGTTACTCATTGCAATTTGTAACGTTGTCACATTGAATTAGTTTTTCCTTACTAACGTTTGTCAAAAAGTACTGACGGTTGGTGAGTGGTTATTTTAGTAATGAACAAAATAGTGTGTAGTGTGTACAACTGGTTGATCAATCGGAAATTGTATTCCGGTCGCATTGGAGTTAATTAATGCCAGAGAAATACTCAATAATGTGTGACTATTTAGTATTTAGTATTTCGATTTTAGATCAACCACCAGTGGTTCCCAAACTTTTATTCCATCTCCGTACATTATTATTATTTATTACTTTTCATACCTAAGTCACAGCACACTTTAGATATAGATTGTCTATTTGCCAACAATAAATAATCTACCTGCTTAAAAGTTCACGAAACACGTACCTATGTGAATATACACAGATTAGTACCTAGCTAGTAATATTAAACTTCTTTCAATATCGAACACTACTTTATTCTAGGTATTGTACGAAAGAGTAACGTTTAAATCTGTCACACAAATGTTAAAATGGTTAGGTTAGTTGGTTATAAATATAAAAAAATTTAAGTTTTCACCGCGCACTCTTTGGGAAACACTGCTATAAGTGTTTATCACAACTTATAAAAATATAGTTTTTTTTTAAATCGGGGAGGACGGGGACCATATTGCAACCTGAATAAAGTTTTCATCCTTCAAATAAGAAAAAAAATCAAAATCTGATCATTTCAAGAAGCGTTATAGTTTTTTTCTGTGATAAAAGTTTTAATATGTACTCAAAATACATTGGCTTCGACACCCTTAACTGTATTAGGACTAAATAATTATTTATCATATTTTGGTAATGCAATGTAAGGTATGTTAATTAAATACCTAATATTTAGTTTTAACTACCTATTAATTATTATAATATTATGACAATTTTAATTACGCGTATTAGGTGTTTTAATTTGATTTGTGCTTATGCTCCTTTATATTTTTGCGGCCGTAGATTTCCCTGTCTGTTACTATACTATAGGTAGATACCTACATTATAAATTATATGTACCCATTATTTATTATATATGCTACTTTTTAACTATTGCTACTCACCTATAAAACATCCCAAAAGTATGTGATAACGTTTTGAATATAAAGTGTTGTTTGGAAAATAATAGTTTGACTTGTATGCATACCAACTCTTGTCCATATAATCCGATTGAGTGTCTATACAATATAATAAACATTAAACGCTCATCGTTAGGCATTACATTATAATAATATATATTTAAATATAAAATAAATATTGAATAGGAGACTATTGAAATTAAATTCTTTCTAAAAATCTAATTTCATGGATACCCGTATCTACCTACATATTATATATTTATATCCAAGACTAACCTAACCTTTTAAGGGGATTCGATACCGTCATTTTCTGTTTTTGTCTAACACACTCGTGACATAGTAATTTAGACGTGTTTTTTGCAAATATACCAATTGATCTTATGAAGCGATAAGAATTCTAAAAACAGATTTGAATTTGTCGTCAAGTCTACTTGAAATCGACTTTCCCACATTTATGATTTTTTGATTTTAACTTCTCCGAAAATTGAAATACAAACATTTTTAAATGCTCTTTTTTAATATGACATTTTTAGGAATTTGGGGTATAATATCATAAATGTGGTAAATTCTATTTTAAGTAGACTTAACGACAAATTCAAATCTGTTTTCAGATTTATTATCGCTTCATTAGATCAATTGGTATATTTGGCAAAAAACACGTCTAAATTACTATGTCGCGCGTGTGTTAGACAAAAACAGAAAATGACGGTATCGAATCCCCTTAAGAGGACACCACATATTTATGTTGTCTTCGTCTCACAAGTGCGTACACTGAACAGATCATGTTTAATTCTTAGTTTAAAAAATTAAAGATTAGAATGGGTCGACCTATTATACAACTTGATGGTAAGTGGTAAGAACACTATATTGGTTTTTTACGATACTTAGTTAAATTTATTAACAAGTTATCCGTATATATAATACAGCGTAAATTAAAAATGCTCATAACTCACTTATATATTGAACTGTCGTAAAACACCAATATGGGAACACAGATAATGTTCTTACCATCATGTTTAATAATAGGTTAAATTCACTCTAATTGTTAAAGTGGAAGATTTAAAAGTGATCTACTGAAGGTAAATGTCCTATGTTACATGTTTGTAAGACGGAGACAATCAGACAATACACATAATCATAAGGGTGTGGCGTCTTCTTAAGGCTTAAGAGACGCTCACTGTACGTCTGTACACATAAACGGAACAATAGTATAAAAAATATATAAATAACAAATAAAAAAGTATGTCAAGTTATATTATATATCTATATGTATTATACGTACCGTGGGCTTCGAAACAATGGGGGGATTCGTCGCTGTTGTCTCCACAATGGTCAAAACCATCACATTCCAATCTGCTGGGTATGCAGCGTCCATTCGTGCACGTAAATTCGTTTGCCATACTGCATGCCCCTTAATTTTTTTTTAAATTTTGGTAAATGCACCTAACTTATTATAATTTCGGTAAATGCACCCAACTTATTATAATATGCATGTATGCTGGGTGATTATATTAACAGTTAACACCCAGCTGCTCAAAATGTATTAATGTTTTTTTTAATTTAATTATATTTTCGCTGGAACTTTTGATGCATTAAAATCCAAATTTTGAATGAGTAGATTATTAGTTCGGTACTTCAGTAAGGGACCTAAAAACACTTAAACTTTACCCCTCCCCCCTAAATATTTTTCTGGCTACGGCCTTGATAGTGACCCAGATTGGGTTTGACCAACCCTTTAAAATAGACGGATTGGTCGGGGGCACTTATGAGCAGCAAGATGCAAGATCCCACCCTGCTGCCTCTCGGCGCACGTCTATATGGGTGAAATATGTGCATATATTATATATAGTATATTATACATCAGATAAAACGCAGAAAAAAAGCCCAGGAAAAAAATAAACGTTTATGTGAACACATGTCTATTTTTTTTCTGAATTAGTAATTACCGTATGGCGTTTACCTACTCGTATAACAAAATATAATATATTAAAATGAAAATAATGTCATAAATTATTAATATCATGTGTAATTTTTGTATAAATATGTAATATGTATATCATACGTAAGAAAAGTTTCTTATTAATTGAGTATCCGCATATAAAATTGCCTGTATTCATATTATGTACTAGGTATACATGTGTTCACATTTATATTTATTTTTTTTCTGGGCTTATATTCCGTATGCTTTTTTTCCTTGGTGTGTTTATTTTGTTGTGCTTTTTTCCGTAGATTTTTTTCTCCGTCTAATACCATATAAGATAAGGTTATAGTTAACATATATGTTGTAGTTACTAGATTGAGCAAAGGCTGTGTAGGCGATTTCTAGCCGAGAACTGGAATTGAACGTTCCCGTCAATCTGACATAATAGCCAACTTCGATAGCCACGTCTAATTCTGTGCGACGAGATCCGTTAAACCATTGCAATAAACGTCCGTTGGAAGTGCGCCCTTCTCGGATGACCAAATTGCTCTCAACTAAATAAGGTGCATATCATGTAAAATCGTATAATAGTGTGGCTTATTATTATTGAACTACAATTAATCTCCTGAACACAAACCAAATAATAATATAATATGAGTATACCAGCACCATATGGACCAAAGTTTTGTGCGGGGAGAGGGGGTGCAGAATTATTGATATTTATCGCTTGAAATTAAAAATTGTAATTAGGTATGTATGCGGTATAAAAATTTGTGATATTTACTCGGTTGAAATTGTAAAAGGTCACTCGAGATTTTTGAACAATCTAATATAGAGTACCTATACACTCCTGATATAATATGTATATGTATATTAATATATTATACACACAATCTAATTTTCTTACCTAGATGTTTCAACGTTATGACTTTCATGTAAAAATGTTGTGACTTCAAATTATAAAGTTTGTGCGATATTCGAAATAACCAAATACAATCAAACTGCACATCTGGTTCGTACTCTTCCACCATTTGCATCATTGTAATAGCCCCACCTTTATTTTCCACGAATCCACCACAATCTTAATATATATCAATGAGTTAAATAATATAATATAGAACCTTTATACATTCAAATACTGTGTACAAATCATATTCGCTGGTATCACTTACTCGTATTTGGTTTTAAAACAGAACTTTTGACGTTTCCTGATAAAAAACATATTAATTTATAATTTATAAAAATTACAATCTTAATCACAGGTCAGATAATTTTTTAGGTAAAAAAAATTATGGAAAAAAAATATTTTATCATGCAAATATGTAAATAATAATTAAGATACTACTATAGGAATAGGGTACCTAATTAATTTGACGGTAGGGGTATATATTTTTTTGTATTTGGTAAGATAGCTCAATTACAAAGATTTTTAACCTACGTGAATCTAATAACTATAAACAAAATAAATATTTAGTGTATATTATAATCACTCGTATACAGGTATACTACTATATACTAGGTAGTCATGTCTTTAATTAAGTACCTAATGATAAACGTTTTTTGAAACATTTATTTTTACTTAGTTAGTCATTACAAGAAAAAAATATTTTAGTATATTGAAATACTCAGATAAAAATTCTACTTAAGAATGTAAAACAAAAACGCATGTTGTCATTTAAAAAGTAAAAATGTATAAATTAGAATGATGAAAAATGGTAAAAATATAAATATCGTATCTGAACGATTATATAATATGTTATTTGCAGCTGTGAGTCTATATAATAGTATATGCATAGGCTAGGCCACATTAAGGGGGGTTTGATTGCACCTGGTGGGCGGTGGCCAATTTATGGTCTTTGTGGAAATAGTGAAAAACATAATTATTGTAATGTTAGATGTTTAAAAGGCATAAATTAGTTCATTCAAAATTCACTAAAGAATTAATAATTATAAAAAAATATTGTTGAAAAAGTAAAATTGTATTTCAGTTTTAATTTATGAAGAGAAAAAATGTTAAATTTACAAACCTAATTTTGCATTTACCCCAATATATTATACGTACAAGATATTCCTACAAAAAAGCTGATTCAAAAATCACAATATATTATATCATGTTATATTATTTACACCTTGTGTCCTATGCAAGCTATACGTAAATGGAGCGTTGATTTGTTGGACAAAAAATAAAATAGAATATACCTATAATTAAACTGAAAATGGGTAGAAACAGAATTTGTTTGCCCCAGCTCCCAGGCGGTCGTCGGCTTAACTAGGAGGATGACCTAACAATATAATATCTATTTTGTTATGATCAATACTTCTTATTTCGGGTTATACTAAGGTAATTACCAAAAACAGCATATTTATCGGTAATTGGTACTTTCGGCGAATCTAAATCAGAGGTTCCTGTCCTATTTGCAATCATAGACCACTAGTTATGTGATAGGTATACATATATATTATAATGTATAGCTTACAAAGTAGAACTCTAGACTATTTATATCTGTACCGCGTGGCACGTGGTTTAAATACTTCACAGTACACCGAACATAGTTTAGGTTTTTTAGGAATACAATACAAAATGTGGAACTGTAGGTACCGTTCGTATCAAAGACAGTCAGTGGTGTGTACGTAGGGTCCAAGTGTCGCTCAGGCAACATCTTAAATGTAATCTGGTAGGTATTCATAGAAGAAAAATAAGACATTTTATAGGTTGGTATACAGTATATTATGAGGGTTGGGTCACCTAAAATTATTTGAGCGACACCAATTTTTTTATGATGAAGACAGTGACATGACACAATAATAGGTACACACATGCCATTCGGTTTATGTTTAGTAATTACCTCGGCATGGTATTTTTTGCAACAGTGATAACTACTAAATCATTGCATAGGCACCGTAATAATTCTCAAATACTGCAGGATACCAATATAACTATCGGTAAACGTATACCGAACATACTACCAGTCCTCATACTAGATGCGTTGTTTCCCTACGTCTCTACATGTATAAATTAAACAGATGCCTGGCCGGCTAGGTTAAATTTTTATTTTCGACTGTAATTTTTAATTAATATTATAAATTATAAACAAATAAATGTACTACTGACCTCTAACGTAGGAGTATTGTGCCTTGTACCCAATTGAAGATCCAGCATTAGCAAAGAATTTAATATACAACATTGGCCCAGAAGATATAATCACTGGTGGTCTAAATGTTATACCTCCAATTATTCCCAATCTCTTTCGATTTGAATCGTAAAACTATACGTACGAATAATTAAAACAAAATACTAAATCACTATCAATAGTAAATGATTTTATTTTAATTTAGGTACCTCACAAAATATCATTAAACTTCTAATATACTAATTCGAGATTATAAAAGTTTACAACTTGGTAATAAAGGTATTATTATAATACATATCATGTCTGTGGGCTAACCTATACTTACCTCAACAATTGATTCTTCGGAAATTTGAAAATCCACGAAAATTAAATGTATCAGACACTCATCGGTGTATGCCTTACAATTGATCACCTGTTCAAATGTCAAATCATCTGGATAAGACATCGGAAAGAACGGAGTACTGATGTATCCACCGAATAAAATATTTGCAGAGTTGAATTCTGGTTTTATTTCCACTAACTGAATATTTCCTACGATAAGATACATTATTTAATAATCTAGATTCTAGACGTTGGATAGTAAACATCAGTTATAATATAGGTAATCAAATATTTAACTAATGGCTAATACCATTATAATACTTTTTTTGTGGCATCAACGGGGGGGGGGGGGTAACCCCCCCCCTAGACACACAATTAAAATAGGTAAAATATACTCACTGGTAATCAAGTACTCAGCTGTAAATGCGTGGTTATGATACGGATGTCCGTTGATAAAATTTAAATTTACTTGACTGGTTAAAGACTTGTAATGAATAGACGAATTCTTCACAGTGCCATTGACACATTTTAGAGACCGTGCCGAATATGGTGGTTCGAAGATGCATATGGAATTACAAACAAGATCCGTTTCACTCGAATTATTATCTGCAGTACACGACAAGTTCACGTCTTTAAAACGTAAGTTGATCATACACGACGGACATGCGATAATGCGCAGAGAACATTGTTTGTAAAAACTTTCCTAAAGCAGCATAGATAGAAACATTTATTAGAAAATAAAAGCACATTCAAAAATTGTTTATGTGCGTAGTAATTTCAAGTTACATTCAATTTTGGGCGATAGATGTCGTTTTTGGCAAATACAATTCCTCGAGATCCAATCGCAGTATAAACTGTTTTTTTATTGAATGGCCTACAGATGTCATACCGTTTGATATTTAAGGAGAGATCGATAGATTGAAATATCGTCATCAATAAACAAGCTGAAATGTACAAAAAAATATTTTTCAAATAATACATTGGTACGAAAATTAAATACGTATCTTTTCCGGTCATTCAGGGAGACGAGAGGCTCATATCTAACGTTTATAGGTACCATCCCGTTCATGGAAATTGCGAGTACGTCATGACATGTATATTCAACAAGGGGGATACATTTATGTATATATATATATTATAGTTAAATGTCTATTATGAAAATAATGTATAAAAACATACAAATTTAAAATAAAATTCCACCTACCGATATACACCAACTGATCCATCCCAGTCAACGTGGTTGTTATTCTACTACCTACGACAGTACGACCTACCTTTAGTCATATTTTATATTTAACAAATAACAATGGAACGATATAAACTGACACATAGATAATATACTGAATTAACCTAACAGTTAGTATAGGGCTTCGACTACGTTGTTATTATAATTATATATAAAAGGTTTCTCTAAGAAAAATGACCTTTACAACGACGCATTATTGATCCTTATATATTGTTAGTTTTTTTTCCAATTCAATGGCAATAATAAGCTTTTTGTATAATACAATACTAATCAATATAACTTATACGATACTAACTATATATTCATTTTCAAAACAGATATATAGGTAGGTAATTAATGTATATGTTTACTATTCAGTCTGTCCACGATAAAGTGAAACACTCAATAGTCAATAGGTAATAAAAATTGTTATCTGGTAAGTGGTAGGTGCGTACTTACCTCAATTTGAAGTTGTACAATTTTTTAACCATTTCATTTTTTTTTTAATCGTATTTCAAATTCTTAGCGAAGCGAAGCGATGAATGTATTGATTATACAATAATGTGAGTTTTATTTTTATTTTTGTGTCTGTTATTACGGTTTGGGACAGTAAAAGTGCTTCGATTTTGATCAACGGCAACTCTTCTGGTAGGATATTGAATCTTGTTGGTGCATTCGGGAGGTCAAAATTTAAGATTCCCAATAGTTTTTGAAAGTGAAAATATTAATAGAAAACGGGTATTTTTGAACAAAACCAGTTTTTGAAAAAATCGATTTTGGTTTTTAGTGTTCCTCTAAAAATATAACCATAGATACATGGCATTTTCACTGAATGTTTGTGTAAGCATTTTCTATACACTGCATACAATTTTCAAAAAATGTTGGCTCATGATGGACTATTTATATTTATATTTATATTTACTATTTATATTTTATAGGAATATGAAATTTTCGATTAATTTCAATAAAAAAGAAATGTTGGCTCCTTCAAAAAACTTAATATTTTGGATACATTATTGAGAGAGAGAACAACTTTTATTTAAAATATATTTATAAATCAGATTGCCCGTCCAATAACTTGCATGGGAGCTATAGCGGCACGGTATACTTATCAAGTATATATCCTGTTCTTGTTGAAAATACAGTTTGTGTGGTTAAAAATGATATTGTAAGCAAGGGCGAACTTCAAACCGGGGAGGGAGGAGGCAAAGTCAAAAATCTCTGATACCACAGCACATACTATTTTTTTTGTTTTCACAAATGATAAAACGATAAATAATAATTAAAATAGCGGGAAAAGTATGGCCCCGGCACCATCCTCCAGGCTCCAATGTTATAAGTACTCAAGGCAGTATTTATAAATTATGCGCATCGGGGCACTTTTAAATTCCACCTCTCTTCTTGGTGGCACGGAAGGGGTGGGTGTCTAGTGTTAAAAAAAAAACTACAAATGTCTATAAAATAGCAAATAATGCCAACGGCACGTAGTGTTCCCAAGCGGTCACCCATCCAAGTACTAACTTCGCCCGACGTTGCTTAACTTCAGTGATCGGACGAGAACTGGTGTATTCAACGTGGTATGGTCGTTGGCGAAGGCTAGGGATAAAAGTACAATATTTAAATCAAATAATAACTTGTATTTTAAATTTTTTAATAAAAGAATAAATTCATTTTAATCAATAAAAATATGTAAGTACCTACATATTCGTAGATTTTTCGTCATCAAACTAAGTTTATTCAACGTTGATAATTGATTGATCTTTGGTTGGTCGAACTTACATCAATGCGTGGGTATAAGAATAAACATGTACTATTTTTGGAATGAGTTATTATTTCAGTGGGTATTCGAAATTTCGGTTTCCAAAATTTTCAGTCTTTTTTTTATTTTTTATTTGTCTTTTACTCAAAAACTAGAAACTGTAGATATTTGAAATTTTAAGTTTTTTGAGCTATTTATGGACAATTAGACAGTGGAAATATTCTACTTTTCTTATTTTTTTTTTGAAATGTCAACCTATAATCAACGTTCATCATTTTATTTTTATGATAAATTATAATTTTATTATTACCTATTTATTTGAACAAGATTTAGAAGCATGGCACTTGGGATCACATAATTTATCTGCTGTTCTATACTTCGTATTTAAATAGACAGTACGATAAGCACCTAACAAAAATAAGTTTATACACAGTGTTTCAAAAAATTCATATTTTATTATATGACGACACATGAATAAAATTAATGATTGTTGTGAAAAAAAATCAATACTATAAATAGGTACTTAATAATAAAAAATAATATTAGTTGGTTAAAAAAAAATTCGTGGTTTACATTGTTATAGGTATTCCACATATAGGTTGACATTTCAAAAAAAAAATAAGAAAAGTCGAATATTTCCACTGTCTAATTGTCCATAAATAGCTCAAAAAACTTAAAATTTCAAATATCTACAGTTTCTAGTTTTTGAGTAAAAGACAAATAAAAAATAAAAAAAAGACTGAAAATTTTGGAAATCGAAATTTCGAATACCCACTGAAATAATAACTCATTCCAAAAATAGTACATGTTTATTCTTATACCCACGCATTGATGTAAGTTCGACCAACCAAAGATCAATCAATTATCAACGTTGAATAAACTTAGTTTGATGACGAAAAATCTACGAATATGTAGGTACTTACATATTTTTATTGATTAAAATGAATTTATTCTTTTATTAAAAAATTTAAAATACAAGTTATTATTTGATTTAAATATTGTACTTTTATCCCTAGCCTTCGCCAACGACCATACCACGTTGAATACACCAGTTCTCGTCCGATCACTGAAGTTAAGCAACGTCGGGCGTAGTTAGTACTTGGATGGGTGACCGCTTGGGAACACTACGTGCCGTTGGCATTTTTTGCTATTTTATAGACATTTGTAGTTTTTTTTTTAACACTAGACACCCACCCCTTCCGTGCCACCAAGAAGAGAGGTGGAATTTAAAAGTGCCCCGATGCGCATAATTTATAAATACTGCCTTGAGTACTTATAACATTGGAGCCTGGAGGATGGTGCCGGGGCCATACTTTTCCCGCTATTTTAATTATTATTTATCGTTTTATCATTTGTGAAAACAAAAAAAATAGTATGTGCTGTGGTATCAGAGATTTTTGACTTTGCCTCCTCCCTCCCCGGTTTGAAGTTCGCCCTTGCTTACAATATCATTTTTAACCACACAAACTGTATTTTCAACAAGAACAGGATATATACTTGATAAGTATACCGTGCCGCTATAGCTCCCATGCAAGTTATTGGACGGGCAATCTGATTTATAAATATATTTTAAATAAAAGTTGTTCTCTCTCTCAATAATGTATCCAAAATATTAAGTTTTTTGAAGGAGCCAACATTTCTTTTTTATTGACATTAATCGAAAATTTCATAATATTCGAAATCTGTTAAACATATAAAGTTGTTTTAACTAAATTAGGTCAATAAACGGGGAAAACTTGAGGTGAGTCCCGAGATGTTTGATCGTTTAAAAAAAACATGAGTTGGGTCATATTTTGGTGTATTATTTAATAATAGGTACTCGAGGAAGGGCAAAACAGAAGGGGCAGCTGCCCAGAATCCCGCTCTTTTCATGGCAGTTGATGGTTTTTTAGTCTATAATTTTGTTTTTCGAATTAAAAATACAAGCTAGTTCAGTCTGCAGCGGCTTCGTTGTTTTTAATAAAATAATTATTGGAAAACCTATAATAACGACTAACGAGTGAAAGTAAAAATAAATTATATTGCCAGCGAGCGACGGCAACGTCTAAAACAATTTTGATGATTTTGATGAAACATTTTGAATTTTTTTCTAAATTTTGTGTAACATTTGTGTTTAGTGTACCTAAACATTTAATTTGTACATGTTTTATTTTAAAAAATATTTAAAAAAATTCTTTTACCTAAGTACTAGGACGTGCCATTCATTTTATTTTGCCTCACGAAAAATGTTTCTTGGTCCCTTGAAAACATATCTGCCCTGGGCCCCACAAAACCTCACGCCGGCACCGGGTACTCGAATTTGGTCCACGGTAATATTTGATAATACTTATTTGGGTCATGGTCAATTTTAACTTAATGTTAGTATTTAGTAGTATGTATTTGCATGTTGAAAGATCGTTTTTTCACGGTAAATATTTTTATTGAAGCCGTAATGTTTATATTATCATGATCCAATTTTCAAAATATTTTTACTATAGTTTTAAGATGTTTACGTACATTTTCAATTTTTTTTTCTGTAATTGTCAATAAAATTGTATTTGTTGGGTCAAAAAGTTTGAAAATTGAATATAAGGGTCTTGATATGTATTTAGTTGAAAAATTTTGAAAATACATGCGAATGATTTTTTTTACAACCATTTAAACTTCAAATGTTGACAAAATTCATATCATTCAAATTTTACAAATAATTGTATAGTTAAATATTTAAAAAAATTGTCAACTTTTATAACTAATGGTGGAAAATTGAAAACGAGTTCGACGCAAAGTAGGTTATTCTATAACCAAAAAACCTAAAAATATTTAAATACAATTATTTTTTTGTTTTATATTCAAATGTATATAGACAAAATAATTACAAATTAAATAACCAAGAATAATGATTCTTGTTATTTCGTTGTAAATTAAAAATATTATTTGTGGCTACTTAAAACTTTTAAGGTATATTATTTTATTTATACACACAATGACTTTTCAAATATATTTTTTTTGGCAAAAATGAATTTTATCTTTTATGTAGTATTAATGCTTACTAGTAAAACAAATTATTTTTATCAAAATAATATCATCAAATATACTAAATTATTAAACAATATTATAGACAGACACCATATTCATTCAAAATTGTTTTTTGTATACAATGATTTTACACCATTGAATTCAAATTTAACACCATCAATTACAGTGACCCATTTATAACCTACTGTACTGCAGAGCGACAGCCACTAACCTGCTTTTTTAAAATTTAAGATCCTATTTAATAGTATTAAAATGTTTTGGTTACCTATAGCTTATTTATTTCTACTAAATTGTATTTAAATGTAGACTACGGTCTCTGGTGGCCTACAACATCAAGATTTTCAAGAAGAAAAATTCGATACGTATCGATACGTAATAGTTACTTACCACCTTGTATCGTAGTTCGAGTCCGATACGGGTCGGTACGTATCGCTTGTATACTGCACGTGTAACATCTTGAACGCTCAAAATTGACCCGATACGTACCGATACACTCCAAATTCTTTCTTGAAAATCTTGCATCATTATGCAAGACAGTCTTAAATTCCTTTTCTTCTTAAAGTGCATTTCCCTGTGGGTGCCCTACTACCCCTACACCTGGACACCGGGTATGGCTAACCTTTTAATACCAATGCGCGAATAAACCATTTTGATTGGATTTTATTTATCTTGCATCTAAATATAAAATCATATAGGATAGACTAACAACTGTCATATAATATTAAGATACTTTATATTTGTTTCAATTATTAATAAGTGTTTCTGACCAAAAACTGTTAGGTTTGTTTGTAATTGTTCAACGTTCTTATCTTTTTAGGTGAATATTTCTGGGATATTTGTACTTGTTGAAATCTCACCAAACTGTGGTATTCTAAATGTTTAATCAATGAGGTTTGGAAGAGATAAATGTAAAATAGATAAAAATTTGCATCGTACCACACATAAGCAACAAATGTTGGCTAATTTAAATTAAAGTTGAGTCATTGTCTTAGGTTAGGTTACGTAAGGTACGAAGATAGAACAATAAAAGGTTTAGCGTGGGTCACATAATAAGTGATACGACAGACATTATAATATGTTAATATGGTAATAGTATTATATAGTTACAATATTATGATCAAACATTGTGTCTAAGTAGTATGTACAATGAATGTTAAGTTATTATGACTGAATGTAACTAGTGCAGTATTGAACTAGAAAATTGTGTTTATATTAACAACCACTATATAAGTAATAATCTATTTTGCCCCCGGTCTCTACTCCCATCACCGCAGTAATAATGGTTATACACTTATACCAACTTTTGTTACCAGTCAAATTTCTAAGGCCGGACTTTCTTAATGTACTGATTAAAATGACATAGTACACCGGAAGTAAAGTATAGAATAAATACACATAGTTTCAAAAAATTTTTAATAATAATACAGTAGTAGTAAATGACACAATTCATTCGGTGAGTTCACAATATTTTAACAGTAAAGATGGAGCACATTTTAAAATTCCATTTTAATATCTGAAATCAAATATTACATAATACATATTATTTAATACTTCTGAAACAAACAATGCATGTATTTCATTATTTTAGATTCTGAGTGAAGCACTATTTGCATTTATCTTACTATGTTTTTTTAATTGTATTTAACAATACCTTTAGGAGCAGTAAAATTCTTTTAACTTCAATGTAGAGTGCAGTTTTTGGTAGTAATTGGATCTAGTTAGTACTTTTTTTCATCAATAATTCCTGGTACTTTTTAAAATGATAAGAGTATTGACTTAAAATTGTATACAAATATTTATATTTTAAATTACCATTTTCCAACAAGAACATATGATATGATTATATGGTATTATAATGCAAATTGACACAACCAATGATCAGTACAGTGTTGTTAGTGAAACTGGTTCAGAACTACATCATGAACAATAATCATTTGCTTATAACTGAAAAGTAGCGATTGTTTGCATGGCGCATCAGGTGGTGAATTGGATTATTACAAGCATAATTACATGATATATTAATTTATGCAATATTCTTGCAAATATTATTTTCCACAAAAATTAATAAAATCTATCTAAATCTCCTACTAAGAGTAATATAAATTAATATTCTTAGAAGTATAGGCTAACACACTGTCTTCACTTAGAATCTTTTTTTGTATTTAATGATTTATCAATGAATTCAAATTGAACACATCCTTTACAGTGATCTACTCAATGATGAGGTAGACTCGAAACCTTTTCTAGAGCAGAGCGATTTCTTAGGTATTGTTTATAATTTTTAAAATAAAAATAATAGGTTATTAAATGTACATATACTAATAAGTAACTTGCCACTTTGTTTTATTCTACTTCCTTTCCAAGTATTTTCTAAACTTCTTAAAAATTCTTCAAAGATATTGACACTTTTTAACAATGAAGTTTTTTTATAATCCTTTAAGCGGTTACTACTCAGGTTTGCATCATTGATAATTTCTTTTTGTTTTTTGTCATACTCATTAATTTCATCAATTAAAACACTATAACAAATAAATAAATAAATAAAATATGGTAATAAAAAAAAAAAAATAGTAGTTATTTACTTGACAGTGGGTACAGTGTTTGGGTTGAATTTTTCTATAACTTTTGGGTTAATTGGTATACAAATTTTTCCAGTTTTTGGGTGAACACAGAAGGGAGATTTCAACAAGTGATTTAACCCTTTTGTTACATTCACATCAAGTCTTGGATATGCCAAATATAACAAAATATCTTCCACACAATGTTTTGTTTTAAAGTTCAATAGACCCTGTTAGAATGAAAGTAAAATTATGTGAGTTGCGGTAAAAATATGCTTTGTATAACTTTAAATGATTTGTAAATTTTACCCTTTTATGGTTATTATTAACAATAACAGTTAATGCTTCCCATCGTTGTATACTGCTTTGATACTTCGAAAATTGTAAATTAATTTGTTCCTTAATTTTTTCATCAGCTATAAATGACAAAATTTTATTACACTGTTCTGTTGTTCCTAAGAAATCTTGTTCAGAAAGAAGTGAATTGAATTCTTCTTTTATAATGGCAATACTTCGTCTGTTGTTTGTTATAAAAAGGTTATTAAGATAATTTGAAAATATAATATTATTTTTTGCAACTGACTTCACAGATGGATGATTTACATTATATCTTTTTGAATCCCCAGCAGATAGTACAGCTAAATAGTCAATGAACGATCCACGTTCAGAAGGTAAGAGTTTTCTTGCAGACTCATCACATATCCAACAATGGATACCTCGGCGACCTGAGAATACCCACAACAAGTGTTTCCATCCAAAATCATCCCGAATCGCTCGTTCTAATATTTTTACAGCAATTACCATAAATCTACAACAAGAATATAAAATTAAATATTTCCCAAGATTGGTGTAAAATTATTTTTACACACCTCCAACATTTTTGACACACGTCAGCGCCTGAACAACAAGTACGGATTTGATCATAGTCAGTCATATCAATATCAATCACTAATTCTTTTTCAAGAGCATGAAACTGAGGATAATTTCGACAGACTTTGGGACTAAAAAACAAATAAATACAAACACATGAGATACAATAAAATATTTTATAATAATAAAATTATAAAAACCTCATATTGAACACAGCTCCAATATCTATTTTAAAAGGACATCTATTTTGAATTTCAGTTTCAAATTCTTGTAATGTGTTGAACGATTGATATCTAATATAAATATCTTCATGTAAGGTGAACGAAAATTCTCTATTTAAAAAGTTTTCTGGTTTTACTGAAAATACAAGTTACAAGCAAATTAAAAGTGAATAAAAGTTTTTTTTTACAACTATCTGAAACATCTATGATCTATCATAGCCTGTGGAGGGCTGTATTAAGAGACATTGAACTCCATCGTGTCATAAAAAAACACGAGTTTCAAAAAATTATACCTCTATTAAAAATAACAATGCAACAATGTTTTTAACTATTTAATACTTATTGTTGAATGTTTCTGAATTATATCTATAATGAAGTTATAACATCAGTGAAACTGCTAAATGACAGCTCCAACTGTAACATGTAATGTATTTAAATCTATTTATAAGCATCCATAGCACAATTCTTTTAGGAGGGCTGTAGTAATGTAGTTCTATATATTTTCTAAAAATTATATATTATGATTTGCAGTTGATATTAAGTAATACATTTTGAATTTAGGAAACCAAAAACCACAAATATATTGTTGGGTTAGATATTGAACTTGAACCATATCTGTCTGCCATTCACAGTTGATTGTTGTAGAAATAAGAATGAATAAACAATTTGAGTGGAAAATGTTTTTCAGGACGATTTAAATGAAAAACTTACCGTTTCCGTAGGACAACCACTTGTGAAACTGCGAGTACGGAAACAATTTTTTGTAGTAGACATTAAGGTAGTCCGGAAACTGGTCGTCGGACATGATTATAATATCGTTGATGTCGTTGTCGTTTTAAAACTTGTATTACGAATCGGTAGTTAGACAACTATACTATTAGTAATAGTTATTACGTGAGAGTGTGAGACACTGAGACGTTGACACTTAGTACATTATTAAATTTATCATAAAATTTATATTTAGTTTTAGTGGCTCCGTACGCTCGTCAGTCATGTCTCGTACCCACAAAGCACAAACCTCGGCTATATGATAAGAAAATAAAGAAAACGCGGGAAAACGAGATGTCCAGTGTTTCGTTTTTTCGTAACGTCTTTGGACGGTCGACGTCCGTTTCTACAGCGTCCCGCGGCCAAGGTCTCGAGTCGACCCACCGGTGACGTCATCGGATTTTTATTTACGTGTTCCCAGAGTGTGTGTCATGCCCACTCAGTGTTGTTGTTCACGTCTCGTCCGGTCTCACTGTCTCAGTGCTATTCGAGCTCAGTCTTCGACGATTTTTACACGGTTCACCCGACGACCGCACATCTTGAAAGTTGCGACCAAACGACAACGTAACACGGAACCCTTGAAGTTGCATTAGCAAAACCGACGATTTTTAACGCGATACGACCGATCGTGTTCACTTCCGCCGACGGAAATAGACCGTGGGATCTCTTATTATATTCATCTCGATCGTTGTTCCCGCATCCGACCGGTGACCAGATCGTATCTGCCTATAAATAAACACATCCACGCAGAGTCGAACATGTCGGCCACGACGTTCCGCTCGTTCGCCCGTTCGTTCGGGTCGAAAATGTAAGTTCGCCGACACTCGAATTTGCATTCTGATGCGCTCACAGATTTGTATTACCATTATTATTCATACTGTTGTTGTTGTTATTGAAGTGCCCCTGTGATATTGTCAAAAACAAATTATGCTAATTGCTATGCCTCGGCTGACGGTGGAAATTCTCGTTTTTATCGATTATTGACGAACGCTGTTATGCCCGCGGTGTCGTTAATAGTTAATACGCCATTTTTTTATTTACATCGTACCCAACGAGAAAAGAGGTATAATATTAATAATATTATGTTCCGGACATGAAACTTTTCTCGGTCGTTCAGGCATTGGTTACGTCTTGAAATGTCACAACGTTATCCTTGAAAGTTGGAAACGACAAAAAAAAGTATAATGCTAATTGCAATTGCAAATAACCGCGTAATACCACTTAATGGTAAAATTCCAATGACATAATAATTATCTTGTATGCTAATTATGACTTTTATGTCAGTATTAAATAAATAAATTATTCAGTTCACTAGATATCAATCGACTACTCATACATAAATATTTTTTTATAAATTTTCATACTTATATACATATTTTGACGAATTTCTACATACCTAGTATGTTTGTTTTTTGTTTGCCTTTATGCTTGGTTTTTAAATTTGTTCATTGCTATTTTATGACGTTGTTGTTTGAACAGATTTAGAATACCTACCTACCCATTTTTAATCTTGTTAAGTTATAAATCATTCTCCTGTTGAGCTGCTTAAAGCCCTATTTTTGGAATTCTTTTCTTATGAAATATTTATTTCTACCAGTTAGAAATAATATATTTAAATTTGTTTATGCTCCAAAATTCATAAAAAATTAATTAAATAATTCAGTGAAATTTAATTGACCAATCGTTAGCCACTATATTATATTTAAGGTGCCAAAAGATAACAATTGGTTCATTTAATATTAAATGAATGTTTGCGCAACCCGTCATTAGTATTTTATCAGTGAATTCTATGATGACTTCAATATAGTGAATTGTATTTTTTCATCATCACATTAAGCATAATAATTATAAGACATTAATCATTTGACATTACACATAGAGTCCATTTGTGCTTCCTTTTAATATTTTTGTATAAGAACTAATAACTGTAAGAAGAGATAAATAAATAAAGATAATAAAACATATTAATAGGTATAGGTAATAATAATAAATATTTCTTATAAATATCAATTTTATTTTTACTGACGTATAGTTAGATAACATTAAAATAATCATTTGAATCATGTTTGATATATTTCAATTGAAAACTTCGAAGTAGTTATGCTTCTGAGATTATTGCTTTTAAATTTAAATAGGTATAATTACTACTGTTACATACAAAACGTTCTACTTGTTTTTAATCAACAAGTTTCAAAACTTATATTTCTAAGTAACACATAGATAGGTTCTTTGTATTTTTAAATGCAATAAAAACCACAGGTACAATATATAAATTTGTTGTAGGTTTAACATTTAATATTAATAATTTATTTTTTTTTTTTGTTTATTAATAAATGATATACTTTTGTACCTACCTATAAATTATAGTAGAAATTTGAAGGCTATTTTAAGGTATTTACATTCTTTACATTTTTTTATTAATATTAAAATTCCCCTTCAACCATTGAAATATTAATTTACTGATTTTGCATTAAAATTGTTACAAACAGTTAGGTATATAATAATAAATAATTTTTTTTTGTATTGATTCAACATAATATTTTTTACATGTTATTATAAATTTATTATGCTACATTATGTACATGTATTATAATTTATAATTATTTGTTATTTTTGAATTAAAATATTAGTTAACAGAATTGGTGTAACTATAGGCAAAAATCATGATACCCTCTCCCCCTCCCAATCAAACATTTTTTTAGTTGTTTGAGATTGAAGCTTACCTCTCACATTGGTGTTAAAAATGTTAGCTACTTGAAATGTTAATTGATTTCTACCTGGATTTTAATGACAAAAATGAACAAATATTGATTTATGAATTTATAATAGATTTTCAATTTTGTACTCATAATTAATTGTCGTCTTGATAGTTTTCCGTATATTCCTATAGGTCTGTTGACGTCTGTTTTTTTGTTTAAAATGTGCTCCTTCTGAATTTGGTATTCTAGTATCTTTATGTATTTGTTTATTCCTAAGAATTTGTTTTGCAGTGTTTGGAATTTCTAATTTTTGTGGTGGTTGCTGATACAGTGACACCTATACTGGGCAGTTTGTAGGTGATAAATGACCGGATTATTGAAGTGTAGGATATTATGCTAAGATTATTGATTTATATATTATTAATGGGTTAAGAGTTTTTATTATAATATAGGCTTGGGTCAACATTAAATTATGTATTCAACAATCATACTAGAACCGATATTTATAGGAAATAATAATTTTAATAGAATAATAAAACAATGAATTAGGTACTCGTAATATGTAGGTTATATTGTACACAGTACAATTAAATACTCATTAACAACCGTATGTTAACTACAATAGTTTGTCTATTACATAGGTTCCCAACCTATGGTCTGCGGACCACTAGTGGTCCGCGAGACATTGTCAGGTGGTCCGCGAGCCATACTTAAAAAATGTAAAAATATTTTAATAATTTCATTTTCCTTTGAGGCATAACACTAATTATTGACAATCGTGTATAGTACGTCGTTTATTTATAAATGTATATTACATAGTGAAACCCATGTTATTAAATGCCTCTTATTCATATAATAATAATCAAAATTCTAAAATATGTGAAAAAAAATTGATTCTTATTTGTAAGAAAAATAAGGTATACAATTGAGGTGGTCCGTAGTACCAAAAAATTTGGGAACCACTGGTCTATTAGAATGTCTAAAACATGCTAACACATTTATACTTTTTTTTTTTGATTGGGTAACAATTTTATATACAAAACTGATTATTTAAAAAAATTAGAATAGAATAAACTGACTTGTGAGAGCTATGAATATATATTTATTCACTAGTATTAAGTAGATTATACACTAAAACCTACATTCAAGTGAGAAAAATTTGAAAATCAATTTGTCGATTATTCTAAACCCCTTAATATACATCATTTAAATGTAAATAAAATTGACATGCATGGTTCAATTAAACTATTTTTTGGATAATAAATATGTTAAATAATTAGTATTATTGTATTTAATCAGTATGTAATTTTATATTAGATAAAAAAAATCATAAAATAGAGTTACATGTTGAAAATGTTTTAAAAAAAAAATATTATACTATTTCCATTAAGTTAGGTATTTTACCTGTAATAATGTATTAAACTTTTTTTGTTTAGTGAAAAGCCAGTACGTACACATTTAGTCAATGTGTATGCCTGTTTGACAGTATCCATGATATCAGCTGCAATTGGGGCGTATGTTCATGTTTTTACTAACTTTCTTAGTGCTGGATTATTGACAACTCTGGGTGCTACTGGGTTATTATTGGCACTTATGTACACACAAGATAATGGAAAAAATCGCTCTCTCAGAATGAGTTATTTAGTTGGATTTACTTTCTTCACTGGTTAGTTTTCATAAATAATATTACTAATCAAATATTAAAATGTATTGATTTGAAATATTGTGTTATAGGTCTTGGAATTGGTCCAGTCTTAGAATATGTTATCCACGTGGATCCCAGTATTATACCAACAGCATTTTTGGCGTCTACATTGGTATTCACATCATTCAGCTTGTCTGCCATTTTCGCCGAACGTGGAAAATGGCTCTATCTAGGTGGTACTTTAATGTCATTGCTATCTGTCCTCATGTGTTTGTCTTTGGCCAACTTATTCCTTGGATCAGAGCTTATATTCAAAGTATGTTTATAATATATTAATAGATATTAACTGCTGTGTTATTTTTTTAGTTACTAACTTATTGATGTACATTTCAGAGCTATCTTTACCTTGGTCTTGCGATTATGAGTGGTTTTGTTTTGTACGATACTCAGTTAATTATGGAAAAAAGAAGAGCAGGAGACAAAGATTTCATTGCTCATTCGGTTGATCTCTTTGTGGACTTTATTGGCATCTTCAGAAGGCTGCTAATTATTTTAGCACAAAAGGTAAAAAATAATAAATAACAAATACAAATATCAATCAAAACTATAATTTTACTGTTATAGGAACAAGGATCGAAGAAGCGCAAAGACTGATTGGAAACACATCCTCTTTTTAAAATAAAAATTGTAATTACCAACTAAATATTATCAACTGTGTACACAACCAACTATTTGAAATTAAATTTAAAAGTATAAATAATAATAGTGGGTTTTTGTTTTTAGTTTGGTAATATCTTTACATATTATACATTATAAATCTATTAAGTCTTATAATTTAAGTTATAATTTAGACCGTCTAAAGATAAACTTACCTTATGTCAAAATTGTTCTTTTGGTGTAGGCATGTAGATATGTTGAATTCATTTAATAGAATTATATTTTTCATTTATCGCAATGGTTTTCTTATAATAAAAGACTAATAAATTTGTTACTATAACTGATAACGACTTACGTTTACATTATTCATATTGATCTCCTTTCTAAATATGACATCCTTACAATTATTAATTTCTCCATAAACCATTACAGAATACAATATTTATTTTAAGTGTCACTAATTAATACAAATGCAGGAACTATATTGCAGTTTGCTTATCATGCAATTTTTCAAATTTTAGACAAATCTACATTTTAAAATCAGGGAGTTCTAGTATATAGCATCAAGTGTACCTCATCATCTTGCAGGTTATTGCAATGGATGTTTTAAATTTCAATTCAATGATGAATCATTGTATGAGAAAAACAATTTTGAGTGGAGCTGTTACGTGTCATCATATACTTTTAAGATTATTTTATATTGCTATTTAAAATAATTTTTATTATTCTATTAGAAATTGGTAGGTTGAACTAATTTTTTCCAATAAAAAATTGACAATGATATAATGATACCAAGTGTTATAAAATTATCAACAAAGTAATTTCTGACGAACCATAGGATCTGAATACAGGTAAAAATTAATCTAAACACTTTGAAAATGTCATATAATTTAATAGTTCAAAAATAATTTAATCAATCTTAAAGGTTTACCATACCCCAAATAGTACCAACTATATTTTCTTCCCTACCAGAAAATCGAAATTTTTGACTACTCTAAAAGGTAATGTGATGATACACAGTAAAAACAATACGGCGATCCACTTAGATTCTACAATACTTGTAAAAAGTATACTATATCAGAACTTGTACAATTTATGATTTTGTGTCGTAACCTGTGGTGGCTTGTGCTCTCCTCACGAAAATTGTTTTGACTTGATCTATACTATCCACTTTAATATTTGATAAAAATTTAATATTAATATGGTGAGGTATAGTAGTTGTTGTCTTGTTAAAAAATATTCTAATATTTAAACATCCTCCCCCCTAAGTTTAAATTGGAAGTAGTGTCACTGGACACTCCCTTCCCTCAACATTTTCATGTCCTGTAATATTGCTCATCATATTTACTTATTATATAAATTGTATATAGATTGTAAATTTTCTTAAATAAAAAAAAAATATATACTTAAACACAAAATGAAATTATGTGTTTACATTTTTACAACACATATTGATATAATTATATTAGTAAATACAAAAAATCTATAGTTTATAATGTTAAATATGCGATAGGTACCATAACTGTTAATATAAACAAAATAATGTGTAGTAAACAATTTATGAAGAAATGGGCCATAAGTAGATATTCTAGCATTACAAAATGAAGAAAAAAATTTTTTGACTATGGTACTTATTTATATTGACTAACTAAACATTTTTTTAAAAATCATTAGTCAGCTAAAGTTATCAAGTTAATTATTTGATTGTTTACCGAAATCTATTTTAAAATTTTTTTAATGCTTGATGACATAATTAATTATTGATGAATAAATTCATTTTTTCCTGATCACCCTCAACAATATATTTTGGACATTGTTAATTGATAATTATGTAGGTTACTCATTAAGATTTGTAACATTGATTACATTTTTGAATTACAAACGTATGTCCCCAAATGCTGAATTTTATGGTTTAAGTAAAATAAAATATGAAAACCCTAATCTAGAGTTAATAATTTTTTTGAGTCTCCTATCTGCTATTCTGCCCATTCCTGACATTATGTAACAAGTTGGATTACACTTGATATTAGGAATAGTGGAATTATCATAGAAATGAATTTAACAACAAAACAAAATAATTAATTATTGACGTTATTATTTAAAAGTTACAAAAAACAATATCGGTATCTATATAATAATACTCAATACAAGTAATTATATTATGAATAATGAGGTTGAGAAGTCACAAACGATACTCTAAACAATGAAAAAAATTATGATTTTCATTAATTTAGAATAAAAACAATACATGGTTACAGAAATCTTGTTCATCACATTTAAAAATATGATTACCTTATTATTTATTTACATAAAAGAAAAACTAATAATGAACATGAACTTCTTGACTTCTGTAATTTACTACTTAGTAAAGTTTTATCTAGCTACAATTACACAAAGCATATTTCGTCAATAAAAGAATGTATAAAAAAAATTAGACTGCTAAAAATATTTAGTTTTTGTTTTATTATTATTAAAATTAGTACGGACGGTTTCTGTCTCCTCTTCTATCACTAAAAAACAATACAAATATTTATAATTCATTTGTAGATTCAAAAAAAGAATTAATATAAACTTACTCTCGCATTGGTCCACCACCTCGTCCTCCTCCACCTCCACGGCCGCCAGGTCCTCCTCTGCCTCCTCCTCCAAAACCACCTCTACCACCTCCGCCGCCGCCAAGCCCACCACGACTACCACCCATACTAGGACCACCACGACCACCTCCCATACCACCACCACGTCCGCGCATGGGTGGTCCACCGCGACCACCACCCATACCACCTCCTCGTCTGCCACCACTATCACCAAATCCTTCAGGCCTTGGTTCATTGCATCTGTTACAGTTCTGACGCCAAGAGAAGTTAGTGTTGGCACAAGTTGGATTTGAACATTTCCAGTCTCCATCACGACCACCTGAATCATTTCCTCCACCACGGCCGCCACCTCTGCCACCTCCACTGCTCATACGGTCATCTCTTCTACGGTCTGGGGGTGGTCCACGGTCATCTCTACCACCACCACGACCTCTGCCACCGCCGCCTCTTCCACCTAAAAAGAAACATTTAATGTAGACATGATATTTTTATTTTCATAGTAAATAAAAATTATTACCTCTGGGGCCACCATAGAATCCTCCGCCTCCTTCTGATGGATCGTCTGATACAGGATCATCCATTTGATAACCACCACCACCATATCCTCCACGTCCACCACCACCTCTACCAGAACTACCACGAGTACTTCCAGTTGAACCACCGCCACGTCCTCCTTGCCAATTATCTCTCTTTGTGGCTAATTGGACATTAATTGTAGATCCATTGAAAGTTTTACCTAAGTATCCAAGTTAATTAGTTTAGGGTTTCCAATTAGTGAATACTCTTCGATAGTATTTTAACACAAACCATTAAACCAGGAAATAGCACTATTTGCAGAATGAGCATCATCATATGTAACAGTTGCTTCCCCTTTAGGTCTTCCACTTGCTTTGTCGTTGTACATCCAAATTTTCGGCTTTCCAGTTTTTTTATCAGTCTAAAATAAAATATGAATTAGATCAAAATAAAAAAATGAGATGTACTTAATACAAGCTAGATAATGTATTACCTTGATAATACCAATTGAACCAAAGTGTTGTTCAATATCAGCTTCAGAAGTGTTTGTAGACATGCCAGAAACAAATATTGTGTCCTCTTGAACGATGAAGTCACCACTACGATCATTAGGTGGTCCTCCACTACCTAGACAAAGAAAAACTAAAATTAACAAATGATATTGACATAACAAACATCAATAATAAAATAGAAAAACCAAGACAATCAGATATTTCTGTAAACCATGAAAATATGACTTTTATATTATTGTACAATACACTGTTGTATTAATTAAACAAAATGTCAACTTTATTAAAAACTCATCTTCAAAAATATATGAAAACAAAACTTCCAATTATTGTCGAGTTGCAAATAATTTAAATAATATTAAGCAATTGTAACAACACTTTTATGGAGACTCAGATAATAGAAAATACTTTTATTATACAAACTGAAATGAAAAACCATGGGACACACACCCCATTATATATAATATGTATTTCTAATATAAATATTAGGAATACAATTCTTTTATTAACTACAAATCAAGGAAACTGCATCAGACAGTTTGAGTGGCGTGCATTATTGAGGCGCAGTTAACACATTTAACCAATACACACTCTTTTATAAAGATTAAAGGACAATTCTTTCCTTAATATTAACACTGTTTAGTGGTAACCTATGAATAAAATAACCATTTAGTATGCAAAAAACATTTCAACACCATCCCAAATAGCAGATGAATTATGTACATAATAGATTCATAACCAACCTACTATAAAAACTTTGTAACATCAATTTTCTAGTTGTGCCTATATCCTATCAAGCACATTAATTAGATACACTTTATTTCATCAATCACAATAGTTTTGATGTTATTCATAAGACCCAATAATTTATTTATACATCAAATAAGATTTACTAAAGGTTAATTTTAAAATAAGTTAATATGGGTTTCAACTGTATATTTATTTTTAAAATTGTTTAATGTATGGCAGTAATAATAGTCATATAAGTAGTAACTTTTAAGAATGTAAATTTTATTTTAATTTATAATTTTTTATTACCTATAAACATATATAAACATATATTATATACTAAAACCAATCACTAATAATTAACCCTTTCACTGTTCCAGACGTACTATTACGTCCAAAACATTTATACCATTCCAAGCTCTAGACGTACTATTACGTTCCTTTATTTTATATTATCAATTGCCAGTAAATTTTAGGAAACCCTGGCTTGTATTAATTTAAACATAAATAATTAAAATCATAAAGATCTCAAAATTAAAATGTTTTTAATTTTTATATAGCATAGACAGGTGCAGAACATAAAAATAGTGTAGCAGTGTAAAGCTTAACTATATTATTAAGTATAAATATTGTACATACATCAAATTATTGTTTCATGTTTAAATAAACAGCATTTTTGTATGAACCTAATTCACCACATGGGTATGCGTAATATTCACTTGAATAATACAGACTACACCACGTC